TGATACCAGGGGCTAAAGTAGAAAGCAAATGTTTTGAGAATGATGATGGCAACAAATGTACAAATGTGCTTGACATAATGGATGGATGTAAGGATTGTGAATGAGCTCCCAATAAAATGATTTGGGAAAATAAAAGGACAAATGATTTAAAATTGGGCAAAGAATCTGAATAAATTATACACAAATGGCAGTAAACACACGAAAAGCGGCTAAACATCAGGCAACTTCTAATGAAAACCACAATGCGATATTAGCTCACACCCATTGGCATGGCTAGAAGTAAAGCGAGCAGTAAGGGTTGGAGCAAGTATGCTGAGAAATGGAACTTTTATGCTCTCCTGGTGACAATGGGAGGCTTCATAGCTCCTCCAAAACGTAAGCGGAGTCTCATCTAATCTGAGGTCTACAGTCAAGAAAACTAAAACATGTGTCTACACAAAACTTACACATGAATGCGCACCGCAGCAAAATCCGTAATGCGCAGATGCAAACAACCCAAATGGCCATAAACGGATGAACAGACAAGTAACATTGACATAACCATACCATATTATTCAGCAAAAAGAAATAAATTTCCATGTTGCTTGCAACTAGAAGCATTAGGTTAGACATGAAAGAGCCTATTCACTGAAGACAACTTATTGCATACCATTCACGTGGAATGTCAGACCAGGCAAGTGTGTAAGCAGAAAATACATTAGTGGTTGCCTGAAGCCTGAGGGTTTGCAGAAATGAGAAGTGACTGTTAATAAGCACAGGGTTTCTTTCTGAGGTGATGAAAATGCTCTAAAATTGATTATAGTAATAGTTGAAAAACTGAACGTATTAAAACCATTGATTTATGTACTTTAAATGGGTGAACTGTATGGTATGTGAATTAAGCCTCAATAAAATTTTCATGAGAGAAAGAGGGGATGATGGGATTACCAGCACTGCCCTGACTCACTTCTTCACAGGTGGGAACTTTGTTGGCAGAAGCCCGGAGAGCATCCCACAATGCAGAATCCTGACTCCATGCTAAATTTTCCAGAATCTGTTCTTCGATGCTGTTCAAGTGTTTCACCATGTCCCTCGATAGTCCCTCCTCTGAGCGGATCACCACCTCAATGACCTAAAGAGGGGAAAATCAAAAAGGCAAGGTAGTCTCAGGCAGTCACTTCTAGTCAGGGCTTCCTCGTGATTGGCTCTGGCTGTACTATGTGACACACACTGACATCCAAGCATTATTAATATCTTTCCATTTTAAAAATGTTTAAGTTCTTCAAAATGTTTTCTCATTCATTCAGTTTAATTTTATTTATGAAAAGCTGAGCCAGGGATGGGTGGACAATGGCCAAATCCACCAGTAGTAGAAGTTGCATCTTGGATTTCCATTCCAGTACTATTCTGAACT